AGGTATCTGAACCATGATGGAGGGATTTACATTTCAGTGGTGGAAACAAAACCCGCTGCACACTGCTGCCAACTAGCGGGTGGCAATTGAATTGCGCAAAACGAAAAGAAAATACACAAATGTTTGCATGTAAATTCTTTCAGGAATTAGATACACGGCTTTTGAATATCGATGTAATAATCGCAGGAAAAAATCGTGATATATTGCCATATCGATATTTCCGATACACGGCTTTTGAATATCGATATAATATTGCTGAGAAAAATATCACAATATATTGCCATATCGATATTTTCTTACATCCCTATTTAAATAAAAAATAACACAATTCTTGAATAGGAGACCTTTTTCTGATCAAGTTCACTGAAAAACAATTTAATACTTGTTTTTTGGCATATGATTGGTCACTATGAGTGTAACTGTGGGCTAAAGGTGAAAATAGTCTTGTACCCCTATTTCCTGTAGGCCGCCTATAGGAAATAAACGAGGAAACGTTTGGATTAGAAAAGCCACACAGGTCTACCTCACACTGAAAATCCGCATTCACGGACCCGTCCATCTTGGCTCATGACGGGGAAGGCTGTTGTTGATTTAGCGTGCAGGAAACAGCAAAGTGCGTCTCAGCTAGTAGAAGCTAACTGTTAGAATCAGCAGCTTCACCACACATCAGAACTCCTTCCAGCTTGTGTTATTTGTGGAGATAAAACAACGCTGCAGAGCGAACGGAGGCAGTAGAAGAGTTGCATTATTGTCAGCCAATCAGAGGCGAGATGTCGGAATATCATGAATAATAATAACTCCAAAGCCTGCCGTTTTCTGTCCTCCGCTCCTCTGGCTAATTTCCACTTCCTAAAGGAGCTTGTTTCCCCACAGAGATCGACTCACAAAGCATTCATCTAAACTAGAAACTACTAGCCTGGCAAGCCAGACTAAATAAATGTATTATTTAACTTTGCAAAGCAAGAATTTGGTCTAGTTCACCAGGCTAAGAAACTACGGCAAGTGTGCCAAAATAACAAGTGATCTGGTCTTTAATAGCAAGCAGTCGTTAAGTAACATTTAGTTTTTGTTCACGACTAATGTTTCAAGTGCGTAAACTGTCCGAAAATGAAGTTGCAAGATCCTCGTGCAACACAAAGAGACAGTAAAGGAGATCAGTGTGGCGCAAATCAGAATAGAAGAATGAATGTTGCATTGAGTACCACACGTTGGAGGGAAAACTCAATAAAACACGAGGTTTGGATCTTAGAAAGTAATTCAGATTTCTGAGAAAGTGCCTTTGTTTTGGTCTTTCAACCGTCACTTCCACAGGTCATGCGTAACGTGCAAAATCTCAGCTTTTGTATTGAAGATTAGACAAAACTAAATTACATTTAGGCTCCTCAGCTAAATAATTAGAATACTTATTTACAAGTATTTTCTCCAAACAGAACAACAAAGCACACGAGATGACCTTGGTTTCTTTTTTCCCTCTTATTTGTTGAAAGGCTTGAAAATGCAAGCTCCTAAATGAAGATGCTGAAGTAGTTTCACCAAACACCCAGTGAAGAAAAACGCAACTGACTTCCATGACAACCACTTCTAAGGTTGTCATAAACGAGGTTAAATATTGGAGTTAAAAAGCCTGCTATGTTAAGAAAATATCAATTTTTAAGTCAAGACAAACTTAGTTGCTGCCTGAAAGCTCTCGATTCCCAACAGCTCCGTTGGTCGAATGAATCGTTGCTCCAGGAGCAGCTAGGATTAGGCGGCAGGAACAACACCAACACAACACCATCATGCCATCCACCCTCCCACACAGCGTTTAAGAGGAAGATGGCAGAGTGCAGAGTGGAGTGTTCATCTGCCTTCCAGATTTCTTTTTTCTCTTGCTGCTGAAGAAACCACATGTTCCTGACTAAAAGACCTCCCTCAAAGAGGAGTAAAGGATGCTGAAGGGCTCGGAGCTGACCTGGCTTTCAGCTTTGGTTTGCAATGTTTTGGTTCGAGGAGCTGAATTTCTAATATGACACGCTGGGACTCTGGAAGTCATGTCTGCTGAACATCTTTAGGATCACTGCATGTTTAATAATGAGTGTTGCAAGTTTGGTCTCCTGTTTCTGTTTCATAAAAAAAGAAATGTTTCCAACTGTGTTGATTGAACACAACACTCAAAGAGTATTAGCTGTGCTATTTTTCTGGATTTTGGTTTAGGTTTCTATTCAACACACAAATCTACGATTCCAAAAACAAATTTCAAGGCTAGAAAGTAGCATTTCAAATTTGGCTTGTTGAGGGAGGATGCAGGTGAAAGTGGAAAATTATGGTGCAAAAGTTCATTTATGACAGTAACTCAACTTAAACTGTTTTAATCTATGAGACAGACTCTGTTTCAAGCCTTATTTGTTATAGTTTGGACGATCGTGGCTTACAGCTGATGAAAACACCAAAGTCAAAATCTCAGACAATTAGAATGTTGTGAAAAGGTTCAATATTCTGGACTCGCGTCACACTCTGGTCAGAAAATGAATTCAGGACACCTTTAAATGAAGCCTTTAGATCACATGTGTCAGATACAAGGCCCGTGGGCCAGATGCGGCCCGCGGCGCATTTTATGTAGCCCGCGAGATAAATATCAAAAATATATTAAAACTGGCCCGCTGGCCGATTTTACCGCAAAGACTTCAACTCCCATGATGCTTTGCGGCGTCAGCGCGGAGCCGACGCGCCCCCTCCTTTGTGTTTTTTCCAGCGTCTGCTGCCGGTGTCTGCAGCTCCGCTGTCTCGGACAAACTAAACACTCCTCTCACTCAGCGCCGAGTTCACTCAGCTATTTTCTGACGTTGAAGCCCAGAAACTGAGATTCTAGCCGCTCAGTAATGTGTTCACGACTGAAAGAGAAAGTTTTCCAACTAACTTCCAGACAGAGCTGATATAACTCCAGCGAGCAGCGACACGCTCAAACCAGCACGACTCAGCTCCACCCTCTGGTGCAGCTCCGCCTTTGTGGTTCTGCAGCGAGCACCACTCGCGACTCTGTGGCTGCTGTCGTCGTGTTTCCTCCCCGACACACAACAACATGGTCAAGCTGCTCAGACATGTCCATCAGCACAAACCTATGTGAGCACCTGTTGTCATCTAATGTTGTCATTATTATGATGAAGATGAACAAAACAACAGGAGTCTCCTCCTCAGCTCAGATCAACCCCATGATGCAGGTATCTGGCTGGAACAGGTGAGCATCACAGTAAACCAGTGGAGCAAACTGAGCTTTAAATATGTTGGTTTTATGCTCCTTTTCTGCTCCAAAACATGAAAGTTAACAGGTGAGATGTTGCATTTTCATTTAAGATAAAATTACATTTTCATTTAGTTGTTGGCACGTGAGTAAATATTTAACCTGCAGTAAACAGGAAGTGGAAAGCCTGCAGATAGATGAATAGAATAGAAAATCCCTTTATTGTTCCTCAGTGGGGAAAGCTAGATGTCACAGCAGCGATGACACGTATTACAGGAGAAAAAAAGGAGAATAAAAAATAAGAAAAATGAATAAACAAGAAAACATAAATCCTGAATAGATTTTAAAAATGCTGATTATAACACAAGTAGTGAATACCACTGATGTGTTTTATTTAAAACTGACTTGCTCGTGTGTAATTTGGTTATTCCACATTCAGTGTTAATGCAGAAATAAGTTATTTTTCCAAATTTAAAGGTTCAAAATTGCATATATGTTGATAAAGAAAATGTGCAAATTTGCCGTCACTTTTTCAAAAATATTAAGTTTGGCCCTCGACTCCGTCCCAGAGTTTCATTTCGGCCCCGTGTGAGTTCGACAGCCCTGCTTTAGATGGTCTCTCAGTCTAAAATGAATTACTGACATAAATTAACTTTTGCACCATAATTTTTCCAGTCCCACCTGTATTTTTTTGGACGTCTGTATTATTTAACCAAAAGCATTCGGCTTCAATAAACTGAGCCTTAGAGACAGGTTTGGATACGCTGCTTCTCCGTGTTGAGGGAACCCAGCCAAGGTAGTTCAACATGGGGGTCAGAGTGTCCCCCCAACACCTGCTCAGGGAGCTGTTTCCACCATATCCTGCTGGGAGGAGACACCATGGGCTAACTGAGCAATACCATGGGAGCAAATGGAATCAGAACCCAGGTGTGGTGTGTATGATCACAGGAAACATTTTGCTAATTATATATTTTCAGTGATAGCTAATAGTTTCCGTCTATGGGACAGCAGTAGCTCAGGAGGAAGAGCAGGCTGTCCAGTAAGTGGAAGGTTGCAGGTTTGAGCCCGGCTCCGACCAGAGAATGCCGCTGTTATGTCTTTGGGCAAGACACTTTACCTGCTGCTGGTAGTCGTAGGGCCCGGTGGCGCCGGTGTTCGGCAGGCCTCACCTCTGTCCCAGGGCAGCTGTGGCTACATCGTAGCTCAGCCCCACCAACGGGTGAATGGCTGATTATGTTGTGAAGCGCCTTGGGGGGTTGCAGAGCCCTAAGAAGGCGCTACACAAATACAGGCCATTTACCATCCCGAAATGTTTCAGGCTCCTTTAAAAAATCCTTGGTCCTTAAAACATGCTAATACCACCACTCAAAGTTTCCGTGACCTGCCGGAAGAACTAGAAGATCTGTTTGGACGTCCTGGTCTGTTGTTTAGAGTTTTTATGTGCAGCTCTGAGCTCCTGCACCTTTTTGATGGACAGTTGTGTGATGATTGGAGTCCTGCACAAGTGTGAGGTGCCAGTCCTCTGACTTTTGTCTCCCCCCCCCTCCCCCGCCTCACACACACACACACACACACACACGCACGCACACACACACACACACACACACACACACACACACACACACACACACACACACACACACACACACACACACACAGTGACACCCATCCCCTGCATGACCGTTTGATTAATTTCAGACGAGCTGCGTCACCCTGACGGCGTTAAATCATTGAGAAAAGACAGGAAACGTACTCCTCCATCGCCCCCACCCCCCCTCCCACCCCCCCAATCCGCTCCTCGCCCCTGACTCTCATCCCTCCTGCCTTCTCCGGTGCGTCTGTTCGCTGCGAGGAGCGGCGGCGTGTGTATGTCAGGGAAGTCGGAGCGGGGGAGAAGCCGCACTGTTCTGCGCAGCTGGTTTCCGCTGGACATCACCGAATAACGGCGCTCGGCAAACCGGGCGGTGGTGGAGGGGGAGAGACTGGACCCGGACCAGGACCAGGACCAGGAGAAGCACCGAGGCTTCTGCTCTCCGGAAACATGTCGGAGTTTTTTCTACTCGCCTTCCTGGCCCTTTTCTCGGGATTATTTCCGTGCGCCGAGCCCTCGAATGTGTCGGACGAGGAGATAGGTAAGAAGGAGCCGCGGGGGGATGCGCAGTCCGGGGAAACTTAGCACCGCGGGCCGCTTTTACTGTTGTTACAGGCGCCAAATGCCGTGCACTTGCTGGTTCTGGGTGTTTACATGAATGCACCTTTTTTTCTGAACGATAGAGTTAATTACAGGAAATGAAAAAGCTCATCACTCACGCTTTCTCTATAGTAGTCTCTCTTTTATTGTTAGTATTATTCATTCAGAACATCGCTGTGCGTCCTACATGCTTGACCAGAATTGTGCCACCTGTGTATTAATGCGCGTTGTGTGCATTTGGCACAGCTTTTGCGTTTGAGCATTTCCAGGAACATTTTTGAGGAGCCAGGACACATTCTGGATCTGTGACTGCAGGTGCGCAGCGACGCTATCCTGTACAATGCAGCAGGTGAAAAAAAAATCCCTGAGATGGATGGAGAGGATTCTGCCTCCCTCCCGAGTTGTAGCCCGTATCTGGGATCGGTGGAACACCGGAGAGGACGGTGCTGCGTCCGGTCAGCTCTACAGCGCGTGGCGTGACCCAATAGTGGAAATCCATAGTTGTTTTATTTTGAAATTGTGTCAGAAATTTACATCATATCTAAAAAATGTGGATATCTTTTGGGTACCAGAAGGATCACTGAGAAACCCCAAATTTGCCTCAGCTTAGACGGTGATAGATTCACTTTTCTTTTGCAAGGTAGAGTCTAATAGCATTTACTTTTTTGAATGCAACATGATGAGGATCAGTCACATTTATAGGCTCTCACTTAAGCTGCTGAAAGTATCACGATGCATGATTTATGACCCATGAAGGACTATCTGCAAACTGCTCAGTTGTAATAGTATTTATGCATCAACCAGCCTTTTACTGGCTCCCAACCCCAAACCCGACCAACGTATGGATGTGGATTTATGTCATGGAATTTATATGAAAAAGTAGCTGCGATCAGGTGATTTTTTTTCTAGATTCATTGATTTCCTGCAGGGCTCTCCCTCCTTTACATTCTCCAGCAGGTCTCTTGAGTGTCAAAGCTGCTCTTCCTGTTGAGAGTCTGTCACAAATGTCACCATGTGCCCCCCTCCATCCACCCTCCTGCAACACAGCTTGTAAAACAGGGACTTAGAGATTGCCTTGCAATTACAGTAGGCAGGACAAACAGTGTGTGCTTCCTTCAATGCATGAAAGGAAGAGATGGCTATACCCCCCCCCCCCCCCAGCTCCCTGTGGGTGCCACTTTCTGCAGCAGGTTGAAGTGAAGCACTTAGTTTTAATGGCCTAATAGCAATCAAAAATAATAAAAAAAAGGTACAACTGTATTGTCAAGTCGTGCTTTTTTTTTAACAATTCCCTCTTTAATGAAGTTGTCTGAACTCACCTGCTCCGTTTGCAACAAGAATAAATGAAAGCCTCTGCAATCGTATGGTAATTATAATAGCACAACTTCTCTCAACACCAAAACTTAACCTGAAATGAATTTGCTGTGTGGTTGCAGCACTTTTACCTTTATTTGATGCCAACTATTGAGTAGCGGTTATCTCAGAATGAATTGAAAGCATTTCCTGAGCTCACTCGTTGAATGGCTATGTCTCTTTTTAAACGCGTCCGCTCTGTGTTTCTCATCTTATCGCCCGTGTCTGTCTAACATTGAGCTGGCCGACCTGGCCGGGGCGGTGTGGTGTGGCGTGGCAGGAAACTGCTGATCTGACATGCAGCTTGAGGAATTAGGAAATGCTGCATGCACTTAAAAAAAAGGACTTTTTATCTCATGCAGTGACCTCAGCGCCAGATTAGCATCATCCAGCACAAACAGCTCAAGGTTGTTTGTAATAATACCTATTTTGCATCGGGTTTGATTCACGTTCGTCCTCAGCCAGGAAAAATAATGATTTCCTTTACAAATATCTCTAAATATTGGAAAATATTACATATTTCTCACTCTGGGGCGTCCTGGGGAAAAAAAGAGAGCGATGTACAAATACCCCCCAAAAAAGATGGTGATATAAGAGAGATTCTTCATCTCTGTTGCTGTGCATGTGACAAGGTGGACTGTTGTAAGTAAGTAAATAAATAAATAAATAGATTTTCCTGAGCCAGTAACTGGTCAAGCTTAAACTCATTTAAAGCGGCAATCCAGAATTTTCCCCATTTCAGTAATTTTGTATGATTTTTTAGAAATCTGTAAAAATGATGGTCTTACCCTATATCAGGGATGTGTATTTTTGAAATTCTGGCGATACGATACATATCACGATACAGGGGAGACAATACGATATATCACGATATATTGCGATACATTCAGTCAGACGTTACAAGCAATTTTTTTTTACTGAATTTATTGTAAGAATGTTCAATAAACAGTCCAAACTGATACGTAACATGTTTAACATGAGGTATCTGAACCATGATGGGAAGGTTTTACATTTCAATGGTGGAAACAAAACCCGTTGCACACTGCTGCCAACTAGCGGGTGGCGATTGAATTGCACAAAATAAAAAGAAAATACACAAAGGTTTGCATGTAAATTCTTTCAAGAATTAGATACATGGCTTTTGAATACCGATGTAATAATCGCAGGAAAAAATATCACGATATATTGCCATATCGATCTTTCCGATACACAGCTTTTGAATATCGATATAATATTGCTGGAAAAAATATCATGATATATTGCCATATCGATATTTTCTTACATCCCTACCCTATATGGTGATATGATGTAGCCAAATTGCCAGTTGTTGTGTGTTAAGCTCATCCCTTGTCCCGGAGAGCCCTGGGCAATGTGAATTAAGCGCCACTCATCATTAGCCAATAGGAGGATCTTTTGTGATGTCAGTGTTTATGTTTCTCACGTTGCATCCCAGTAGTGTGTAGCAAGAAACAACGCATTTAGCCTATTATTCGGTTGTTTTGCACATTTGGAGGAGGATTCCGTGAAGCGGATGGATTATTCTTGCTGTGTGGTTGATAGTTCAGTCCGTGGGAGGCTTGCTAAAAAGTTTTATTGGAATTTTTATCTGTAAACGACCACGAAATACCAAAGAGATGATTGGAAGCGACCCGGACTGTGCGAAGAAAGCCTGAACTCCTGCAGCAACAGACAGTTTGTGAGGCTCGTTTTGTTCGTCACAAGTCCTTGTGACTATTTGTTAATTAGAGAAGACGTTTTAAAAAACATCCATCTTTGTGTATTTTAAATCCACTGAGTCATGTTTTTGCATTTTGATTCCGGTGTCACAACTCCCATTCAATATAATAATAAATAAAGAAATAAATAAGGGCACATATTAATGAAGATGTACCCGGCTTTGCAGTCGCCGTGACGATTTGTCCATTTTTTTTGTGCCATCACCCACAGGTGATGTAAACAACGCTGTGGCTCTGCTCGCCAGAGCTTACCGCTACTATTAGCACAACCACAACTTTATGTTTTCAGACGAGATTGGCTCATTTTTCCTTAACACAAAATAATCGTAGGCCTCCAGACATTTGAAAGTCTTTAATATTTCATGAGTGAAGGCTCCAGGGCTTTCTGTTGAATAGGAATATTCAAAGTCAGCAGATTTTTGAAAAGACACTGGCTAATTGGACCGACGTTTTCTGTCATCTAGAGGCTCATGTGGGCTTTTAATAACTTTAATTTGATCTTCAATAGATTTTAAGCTTCTCTCTAAACCTCCTCTTGTGTTTAGACGCTGAAGTGTTTATATGTCGGGGGGTTTGTCCGTAAACTCTCTTAAAAGCGTATGTCGCGTATAGATAGCAGGTTTGTTTTGCCACCCAGCCACTCGCGCTTGAGAACAAAGATGAAAAAATATGTCAACAAAGATCCTCCTATAGCGTTAGACATCCGCTTATGTACAAATGTCAGTCACAGAGTGTGCATGTGTTTTTGCAGAATTATGTGAAATAATGCAAAGTTGGCAACATTTGTAACTGATGAGGACTGTACATATCAACGCGCACACGCGCATGTATAAACAGCATAATGTGAGAATAATGATTGTAAGACGATGTGTTTTAGCTCTGTTACCTGGTTAGAAGTGTGTGTTCACAAACGCGTTGTTTCCAGCCATAATCACAGAAGTAGGGAGATGGGCACAAAGCACAATACATTATTCCTCCTCTAGATGGTGCCCTCTGCAAAAGTCTGTATTCCTGCTTTAAAGTAACACAAAAACATTTTTTTATGTTTCAGTGATTGTTGAGTTAGAAACTTGACCAGTTTCATATTTCACACCACTTTCAGGACTTATGCTCCCCCTATTGAGTGGGTAGGTGCCCTATGGGGGCACTCTTTTCCCGCTTTACAGCTGTTAGTTTTCATGCTAGCAGTTAGCTTTTTCAGTTTGCCAAATGTCAATAAAAAGCACCAGAAGAAGAAAAATAAGAAGTTTGCATAAGTTTGCGTTTTTGATGGCATCATGGCAGAGCCTGGCAGTAAAAGGAAGAGAGTAATGTCTAGAGGTGAATCAAAGAGCTAAAACCAGAGTGAACACTGGTTTGAGGAGCTTCAGGAATATTTACAACAGTTGTAATTCCACTTTCGACCAGTAGGGCAGAGACGCAGTAAAGTTAAAGTCCCATTAGTTGTCACACACACAGGTGTGTGTGCGAAATTTGTTCTCCGCATTTGACCCATCCCCTGGGGGAGCGGTGAGCTGCAGACACAGCCGCGCTCGGGAACTATTTGGTGGTTTAACCCCCCAATCCAACCCCTTAATGCTGAGTGTCAAGCAGGGAGGCATTGGGTCCCATTTTTTCAAAGTCTTTGGTATGACCCGACCAGGAGTCGAACTCCTGATCTCCCAGTCTCAGGGCGGACACTCTACCACTAGGCCACTGAGAAAGGTCAAACTGCTCAGTGTTACTTTAAAGGTCTTTTTACCAGATCACCTTTGCGCCGTGTTCAACTAGTACCATCTTAAATCAGCACAGCTTATTGTACCACAGCCTTTTCCAAAGCAAGCAGCGCTTTTAGAAGGTCAGTGGGGGTCAA